CAAAATTACAGGTCACAAGTTAATTTACATCTTAATCACAATATATTAGTTTTACTATTAAATATTAGTAGGTACCTAATAGGGTATGTCAAATAAATTTTTGCAAACAAAAATTACATTTGATATTGTCGTTGTGTATATATCTACAATATAATAATTCACTTTAACATTTTTAAATACCTAACCCTGAATAATTTTTTTAAATTACAACCAAATAACAAAATTTGTTATTCTTCGTTAAAAAATCTGATTTTGGCCAAATTTTAATTTAAAATATTTATAAAAATAGTAAATATACATTTTTTTAGATTTTTTGCAAAAGCATAAATTATTTATAAGAAACTTAATTTTAAATCATTAGCTAGGAAACATTTCATCAATTTTTAACTAGGTGGATACGAAAAGAGATTCATAAATTTTTGAAATTTTGATGAATTTTGTGAAAATATGAAACTTTTAAATGCTTGTAAAAAAATTGTCCGTATGTATCTTTAATATTTTTCAATTGTTATTATAATAACTTTGTAAAGAACCCTGTATTAAATGTTCAATACTTTTTTACTAACAAAAAAATTATATTAATATTTGTAAAACAAAAAATTAAAAATTGTTATAGATAAATAGCTCAAAACGAGGTAACATATTTGAAAATATTATCATATGTAGAAAAAGATAAAATAAACATTTTTGGTAAAAATATTATGTATATATCTAAGGTTTTGAATTACAACAAAATAAGAAAATCGATCAATGAGAATTTGTAAGTTTACTAGTTTACAGATGAAAACCCAATGTCAAAAAACTTCTTACTTCACATGACTATAAAAAATGATAGTTGATTTACACTCAACTTTTTTTAAATTTTCACTAACAACTTATGATAGACCTTGTATTACATGTTTAAGTTGTTTGACCAAGCAAAGAGAATTTTTTATCAACAATAATTAAAAATAAACTAATGAAAATCTAAATGATCGTATACCTATGAATAGCTCAGAGTCAAAATTATAGTGTATAAAAAATACTAAAATAAATGTTCAGTGAAAAAATCATGTATCTATTTTTTTTTATACCAAAAATCATAATCTGGTTCTTTTGTTTTTCTAACACTAATAAAAACTATTGGGAAGTGAGAATTTTAAGGAGGGAAGTGTCACTTTTGCCCTATTTTATACATCAGAGATCAGAATACAGAAAAGTCAATGAAGTTGAAAATCAAAGCATTATTTCGATTACTTATCGTGTTTATAGACACAAATAAAAAGAGCAAGCATACATCATTGCAAAATCAATACATTCATCGCTCAGCTTAGAATCTAAAACTATCTGAATGAGTCTCCTATATTATGCATAATTAGGAAGTTTCTAAAATATATAAGATTTTACCATTTCGGTTTGACTAACTTCACGCTACATAGCTGTGATAACATTGTAATGACTAGTTTGTATCAGGCACAACTTAAGGACAAATTGCTATAATAAATAAGACTGAAAGAAGTCTATGAGTACTTAAAATGAGCATACATTTTTTAGATTTAAATTTAAATTATAAAGGTAAGAGAGATGATGACGACTAGTTAGCAATAAGGAAAACAAATTTGAATAAAATTGTATACAGTGGGATCATTTCAGTTTTTGAAAGAAGGAAGCAAAAGTTTTACTGGAATAGCTATTTAACAGAAGAAAAAAAACCATTTGCTTTGGTAGCACACTCCTCCTTAATGCACTTAGATATTTTAACTTAATAACAATTTACATTGTGTATATTTATTATCATCCGAAAATTTCTCGATTTTATACCAAAAATTGACGCCAATCTATATTCTTTAACAATTTTTATATTAATTTACATCACAGTTCCAGATTTATCTTACTATTTTGTAAATTATAAGAGTCGTAATATCTGTGACATCAATCTACAGCCAATTTTAATTTCATTCGGTTGAGATATTTTTTCATCAATTGTGTATTGAAAAAAAAATTAACAACATTGTAACAAGAATAAAAAAAAAGGCTTTAACAAATGAAATGGCCGTGATTGCATATGTCAGATTACAAACTTAAGGTGTCTTCCGTGTGTTGTACAGGATTTTTTTGTTTATCTGTGACAACCATTTTGAGGAAAACATCAGTTAAAAACAGATTTCTTAGGTGTTGTTCGGATTTCTTAGCGATGTTCCTGATACGACTGCCTCTTTTTCCCATCACCAGCTTCTCTATTCTCGGTGTATTGCAGTGAATTAATACAACAATGTGTATATTGCCTATGTATCATTAAATAAGTGTTATTTTTTTTATTGCTGTACATAAGTATACAGATAATACTGTGAATATGAAAATATAATTTTAAAAAAATATGAATTTACCCTCTTGAGAAACTTCATAATATTCCATTTCTACTTTTAAGTTGTACGGAACTTCATTGGGTAAAAAATCATACAACATAGACTCTATCATGTGCAGCACTAATTTGTGGTCTTCTTTATCAGTCAATACATCTTTGGGAAACAACCAAGGAGATGGTTTGCTTTTTTGTAACAAATAATCCTAAAAGCAATAAAATATACATAATTTTATTTTATTACTAGTATTATGCAAAATATTATTATGCATAATATTATTATTCATTATCTATTTATAATTTTTCATTCATATGATAGCCTAAAGCCCAATGCTCATAATATAAATCAAACAATAAATTATTGTTAACCTGTAAATAGTTATTGTATACTAGAAAAAACTATTAAAAATATACATAGTATTACAGTGGATAATTTAAGAATGAAACTAATATATTTTAGAATATAACTCTATAATACCTCTCAGTTAAGACATAGATGAACAGAAAAAAAATTAAAATTAATGTTTTAAAATTTACTATTATTATCAATTATCATCATATAGTGGAATAAACAATAATGTTTTTAAAAAAAATTAATTTAACCTATTGTATTAAATTATTACTAATAGTAAAACAAATTACTTTGATATTTATAACTATTAATATCAATAATATAGACTGACAG